TCTCTTTTACCACATTTCAGTGACTGCCTCCTATTTCCTGCTTATTTTTCCCTGCTATTTCTCCATGTGATTGCAAATTTTTCAATAACATTCCAAGAGGAAGAGAGTGTTGAATGAGCGTAAAAGCTAAAGAAAACAGAGACATGCAGAAAGACAAGAAACAATTCTAGAAAGTAAGGATCTAACAAATAACAATGTTATGAATTTCAAAATAGGATTAAAAAAAGAAAATAGAGTCCTTTATAAAGAACCAGGAAAGAATGTGTAGGAAGATGAGGCTGTGCTGGCTATGTGACTGAAATGAAACATACCACACCTTTTGGGATGCAGCTAACACAGTACTTGGAAATTTATAGATGAAAATACATATATTAGAAAAGAGGACATTCTCACATCAATAACCTACATTTTCCCATTAGGAAATTAGAAAGAATAGAACAAACTAAACCCAAAGCAAGCAGAAGGAAGGGTATAGTAAGGACTAGAGTTGAAATCAATGAAATCAAAAGTTGGTTCTTTGAAAAGAGTATCAAAATGGACAGACCTTTAGCTAGGTGTGGACCAAGAAAAAATCAAGAGAGTCGACTTCAAATTACTAAAATCAAGGGCTATCAGGACAGACTTTATAGGATGCTGAGAGAAGGCATGGCATCATCTCATACACTGCCATCTGCTGGTTCACTATAATTTCTTGTTGTTAGGTGCTGACAGACAAGTGGTGGTGTTAACTATAATGTTGTTGTTATGTGATGTCGAGTCAGACCCGACTCACAGCGACCGCTCCTTGGGTTTCCGAGGCGGTATCACTATGGAAATAGATTGCCCAACCTTCCTTCCGAGGAGTGGCTGGTGGGTTTGAACTGCCAGCCTTCTGGTCAGCTATCAAGTGTCTTAGGCACTATGCTACCAGAGCACCTGTTAACTATAATAGGACACAGTTATTTTAAAAAAATAAAATAAACAGGACACAGTTATTGATTTAATGAGTGCATGTGAAAACCAAAACCGAATGTGTTGCCACTGAGTTAATTCTGGCTCATTGCAACCCTATAGGACAAAGTAGAACTGTCTCATAGGTTTTCCAAGGCTGTAATCTTCTTCTTCTTTTTTTTTTTAATGATTTTTTAAAATTTTATTTTTGTGTTTTTATTGTTTCCATTTTATTTTAAAGTACAAACAAAAGCCTCAGTTTGCCAAATTGCTATGCATGTTCCTTTGCCATACAACTGCCTTAGCAAGTTAACCTAAATCATTTTCTAAAATGAATTTTCTTTTTTTTT